AGATGGGGAGAGCACTTGTTCCTGTTGGTTTAGGCCAGTCTGTAGTCATCGGAGCAGCAGCCTTCGGAAATAGACCCCTCCTTTTGGGGCTTTATTTAATTAATTTATTTTTAAAATATATTTTATTGATTTTTTACGGAGAGGAAGGGAGAGGGATAGAGAGTTAGAAGCATCGATGAGAGAGAAACATCGATCAGCTGCCTCCTGCACAATCCTACTGGGGATGTGCCCGCAACCAAGTTACATGCCCTTGCCCAGAATTGAGCCTGGGACCCTTTAGTCCACAGGCCGATGCTCTATCCACCAAGCCAAACCGGCTAGGGCTCCTTTTGAGGCTTTGACCGGGTTCTGGGAATAGCTGAGCCCTGTGCTCCGTGTCAGGGGAGACCCCCCTACCCCAGGCTTCTCACTGCAGGGCTCACAGGGAGATCATCCCTGTGTCTGTGCCTGGGCCTGTCCCCTGCTCCGTGGGGCTCCTCCGCAGTGACAGTGCAGTGGGCACACCAGGCAGGCTGCTTGGCGGGAAGGGCAGGCCACGTGGCTCAGGGACTCCCCACCGCCTTGCCCAGCCCCCGCTGCAGGATGATGCAGGGCTGGGCAAGGAGCAAAGCCCACTCCCTTCCTGCCCCCTCCACTTGAGCTGGGCTCCAGCACCTTCTGCCTCATCTGATTTGGGGCCGGCTCAGGGGTCGTCTCCATACCGGCAGGTCTGTGTCTGTTGCCCATTTGGAATCACACCAGGATGCAGACGTGCACTTGACTTCATAAGGAGCTAGTGTGTTTGGGAGAAAGGCCTCCATTCTCGAAATTCCCAGACTAGGCAAACTTGCAAGGGCTTGAGGGCTGACCTTGAGCAGGGTTTTCAAACAGTTTTCACACTGAATACTTTCTGCACACAAAGCCTTATCTGAGGGCCATTATATAAAACAGATGGAACTATGCTGCTTTGGCAAAGTGGTGGGTGTTGAAGGGCCTGGGAGATGGGACCAGAGTCCCCTTCCCCCTGTAGCTCTGGGTTCTGGGGAGATGGGGGTTGGGGTTGGTCCTGGTGGTGGGATGGGGCAGCCAGGAGAGAGGGAGAGCCCTGGGGACAGTCCAGTGACTGACAATTACTAACTGGTACAGAAGGGCTTCCGTATTTTCAGAACTGCGTGTTCATGCCCGTGTGGCTGGGCCAACAAACTCATCTTTCACAGCAAGAAGTCAGTCTGTACACACAAAAAAGAAAATATGTCCTTGGAAAAAATCATAATGACTTCAAGCGTTAATGTTCTCAGTTTCTTTTTTTAATCTTGAAGGGATATTTTAGAGGAACTATCTCTTGTCTAGAGGAAATATTTAAATATTTTTTATATTGATTTTAGAGAGGGGAGGGAGAGATACATTAATGATGAGAGAGAATCATTGATCAGCTGCCTCCTGCATGCCCCCTACTGGGAATCAAGCCTGCAACCGGGGCATGTGCCCTTAACTGGAATGGAACCCAAGACCTTTCAGTCCACAGGCCGACACTCTATCCACTGAGCCAAACCAGCTAGGGTTAGAGGAAATATTTATATGAATTCAGCAATTCCATCAACTTCTCTTTTTCTTTTGTGAAATTCAAGTAAAATTAAATTTAAAATTATATCTGAAATATGATTGTTCTGGTTTTTAAAAAATTATCTCTACCCATCTTTTCATTACCCATGCTTCTCTTCTTGTATTTGCATATTAAGTTGTCCAAAATGATGTTCACCGAATGTGATTGGTTATTATGGCTGGTGGGATTGGGGTTGTTTTTTCTTCCATCTTTGGGATTTCAGCATGTTTTACTGAATTCTTTATAATGAACAGATACCAGTTTTTACTTTAGTGTGATTTTTTTCTTTAAAAAAATACAGGAAGAAAACACAGCAATGACCTATTCATTCAACAAATATTTATTGAACAACTTGAAAAAAAATTGAAATATAGAATGTGGCTCAGTGGTTGAGCATCGACCTAAGAACCAAGAAGTCACAGTTCGATTCTGGGTCAGGCACATGCCTGGATTGCAGGCTCCATCCCCAGTCGGGGGGCGTGCAGGAGGCAGCTGATCAATGATTATCTCTCATCATTGATGTTTCTATCCCTCTCTCCCTCTCCCTTCCTATCTGAAATCAATAAAACTATATTTTTTACAAAGAGAAATGTAGAATGTTAAGGACTTAGTAGAGGTTATCACAGAGCACCATCAGCACCACACAGAGGGGCACCTTATACAGACTTGGTCGATGGAGGACTCCTAGAGAAAATGATGTCTCGGAACTGAGCTCTGAAGCATGGGTGGAGGTTAAGGAGGCAAAGGAGAGCAGGCAGGAAGCCCAAAGCAAAGCCAGTGGCTGGGACAATGAGCAAAGAGGCTGAAGCTCGGGGTGCATGCTGGGGTCAGGGTGGGCGGTGTAGGAAATGAGGCCGGCTGGGCTGGCAGAGGCAGGGTCAAGGGAAGCCCCTCCTGGGAGACAATTTCCATGCGAGCAGGCGTCTTTGCTTGTTCTGCACAATGACAGATCCTGGCACATAGGCACGAGGCCCTGCCCTCGGGGAACTTACTACATTCTAGTGGGGAGCAAGCCATGAAGACATTTGGGAGAAACATATTCCAGGTGCTTAAAGGATATTTGATGAATAAATGAAGGTACTGAGTAGCCACTGAAGATCCTAATCAAATTGAAATTTCAGAAATATGTATCTCAGAGGATTAGAGAGTATTGACTGGAAATGGGATCCTAATTAGTAATCCAAACAAAGTATAAGAACCTGAGCTAAAAAAAAAACAAAAACAACAAACCTGAGCTAAAGCAGAAATAGTGTGGAAGAAAGTGGAGTAAATTCAGAGAATGGACGTGGGCAATAATAAAAGAGCCCCCCTTATAGAAGGGGCTGGTGCTTTGTATGCATCACCTCCAAATCCCACAACAGTCAAGGGGGGGTGAGGGGGTTTGGTGTGTTTTTAAAAATTATTATTGAGAGAGAGAGAGTGCTAAGGACCCTGGGAAATAGCAACATTTAAGAGCCAGGTGGAAGGAAGTGTGGGAAAAAGAAAAGGAGAGGTTAGATAGCGCTATGGCAATCCAGGGAGGACAAGGTTTCAAGGAGAAGAAACTTGTCCGTGTCACAGCTACAGAAAATTCTATGAAATAATAACTGAAAAGTATCCAAAGGAGTTAGCGAGGAGGAAGTTATCCAGGACTTTGGCAAAAGCAAATGCAGAGGAATGGTGAGAGCAGAGGCCAGATTGTACTGTGTTTGGGAGCAAAATGTGAGGGGAGTTAGAGAAGCAAGTGGAGACTGTTCTCATTAAGAGGTCAAAGGTAAAGGTGACATCGCTCTCTCTACATTCACTCAGTCTCCGGTGGTACTGATCAAGCAAACGTCCAGTCTCGATCTGCCCGACTTCCTGACGGCTCGTCTCCCTTCCCGGCCTTCTTGCCGTGGGGACGTTCCCTGTCCGGGTTGCCAGAGTGGGCTGAAGTCCTGCAGACACCTTGATGGACCTGGCCATTTTCATCAATCCCGTTCCTCCGATTCCATGGCTTTCGTACTTCCCTGTCACTGTTTGCTGCCTGGGGTCCCCAGAAAGATGAAGCAGTACGTGAGAGTAGACGGAAACCCCGAACTTTGTTCTGAGAAAGCAGAATCCTTCATCCTTCATCCTCTCCCATGATCTCACTCCAAGTCACGTCGGGTCTACACAATCCACAAAACCTCCGGCTGAGGGCAGTCCTGTCTGTTCGCCTTTATGTGAAGTCACCGTTCCCTGCCCCTTCAATAACAGGTCTTTACTAGAGGCCTCCTGTGAAGGCACGGGGCTGGTTGCCAAGGGCATTTCATATTAATAAAGAAATAAGGAATGTGTGTGTGTTTACATTATACATGATAAATAAAAACACTTGCTACTACAATGTAGCACAAACTTGAAAGTGAAAAGTATAGGTAAAGAGCTATTGGAGCT